GTGCTACCCCCGCTCCTGATGGACTTACGCCTGCTGCGCCCGCAGCCTGAGCCAAAGGGGGGGGTGCGCTTCCTATTCTCATATTTGGGGGAATTAAAAGGTCCAGATTTTCATCTCCAGGGCTTTCAAGATTAGTTTCCTCCTCAGGATCATGCTTAGCACGATTTTTCTTTTTCTTTTTCTCCTCTAATACCATTTCTGTGTGTTCTGCTTCTATTTTAACTTTGTCCTTTTTATATACCTTTCTCAATTTCGGACGGGTTAAGAAAAGGTAGAATAATTCTGCATAATGCAATTCTGACCACATTTCCTCCTTATGAAGGATTGTCATAAGATGAAACACTGTATTTGCCTCAAAAGAGCCAAATTTCGGCCAGGTTATTCCTCTAATTTTCCCGGTATAGGGCCAAACATCCATAGAGAGTCTAACTACCTCCCGCCTTTTTAAAGATGTCTCAGGGCCAGTTAAATCATCCCAATACCGTAAAACCAAAGCAAGAGGGGTTCCCTCTGGAATTTCTTCTTTAGCTTGTGTACATCCCATGTTAACAAACAACACACGAGGAAAACGACAGATCTAGCCTAGAACTCACAGCCACACACACCACAGACCTTGTGTCTAATCCAGACACTACCAGGTTCAGGCAGAAACACAGAGTTTCAAGCGGGAGGCGTCCCCCCCTCTCCGGCCGCACCTGGCCAACAAGAAACCCGAAATCCTCCTGCCTGCCCTAACTTAAACTTTCCGGGCAGTTCCACTGCCCACTCCGGCAAAAATCCCTTTGCCAACAGACTGGGAAAACACTGACTTTGGGCCCAAGTCCAAGTTTCCCTTCCCAGCCTCACCGTATTCCCTAGCCCTGGGGAAACTCCTTCCCGCAGCTGCTAATTAAAATTCTCTAGGAGTTTTGTTCTTTATCTTACTTCCTCCACGTGCGGTTCCGAGAAGCTGGGCCCCCCAAGATCAGAGCAGGAATTCTTCAAGATATGCCGGCCGGAAAGAAATCCCTGCAAAACGGAATACCGATCCAGAGGAGTCACAGGTCTCGATTCCCCGTACGGAGTCACCAAACTGTTGCCTAAATGGCTGTGGGGAAAAAAAGAGTCCAAGCCAAATTAGGTAGGAGATAAGATAAGGATACAAAAGTTTTAATGACCCCCCAGGCTTTCTGGAATACCCCAGCGCGCTCCCGAAATACAGATGTCCACAGTTTTTATAATGATTTTCACCCAATCCAGTCCAGCCACCACCCAGGTTCTGCCCCCGCCACGCCTCTTGAGAATTGGGTCTGGGGGCGTTTTGGGACCCCCTCTTCTTCATCTTCATCTTCCTCAGAGCACGTAATGTCCTTGGAGGCCTTCCAGAATTCTAGGCCTGAAGGTTGTTGGGTCTATGGCTATATCTTGTTCCGTAGGGTTAGGGTGTTCTTCTGCAATTCTACCTTGAAAAAGAGACTAAACAGGCTATGGAATTTAGGGAATTGATATGGGAATGGGTAACAGGGGTTTGAGCTGGTGTGTTAAGGGTAAAGGGATAATATGCTGCTACTCTAAAATCTACATTTACTACATAATTACTTCTAAAGTCTACAAAAATAAAAAAAAATTAAAACATCAAAACTCCAAGGTATCATCATGCTGAAAAGTTGTACAGTTTTCTATAATAGGAAAACCAGATGTGGAAGTTAAATAAGTGTTGAAACACCAAAAAGCTAAACAAAGGTAATGTAATTTGGGTAAGAAAAATCTCTGCTAGCTTCTGTTCTGGCAGAATCAATAGAATATAAAGGAAATCTGAACATGAACTTATGAGTACAAGTAAGTTTCTTGGACAGTCTCTTAATACAGAAGTAATATAACGTCTTTCAGAATTTCACTCAACTCATCAAAAAAATGAAGATTCAGTAGTAGCCTATGATATGGAAGAATCATGCTCAGCTGCCTTCACTACTGAAGAGTAATCCTGGATTTTAAAAAAGTTCTCATTTAAAGGAGTGTTGAAAAGCACTATAACATTTTGCGACAATGATAGCAGAGGTGTTCAGTTGCATATCTGATATCTGAGTTTTGAGATGTAACAAGAACTAATAGTTTTTGCAGCAGAATGTACCATAGAAACTACATAAAGCTGAGTCAAGTGATTTAAAAGGACTAACCAAGCAAAGTAAAGAAACAATGAAGAGGGGAACTGGGACAGCCAGTCAAGCAATACCAAGTTACTCTATAATCAGGTGTATTGTCTTAAAGAAGGTCATAAAGCAGTCAGAACTTTGGGGGCTCAAGACAAAGAAGACCACTGAAGACCCCTGATGAAGCCCCCCCCCCCCCTTGACCTTATAAGGTATATACATGTCTCAGTTTAAATGAGACACAGGTGCTTTGCTGAGGATGAGTTACAAGGAAGACCCAAACTCCTCCCTCTAAGCAATTGTAAATCCAAAATTAAGAGGTTCTGATTGAGGGGAAAAAAATTGTGGAAGAAAGAAAAATAACAGCCCTTTATTTAAAGATATATGTGTATTGGCAGAAACAACGAAAGAAAACAAGTAAAACAACCAAACAATATTCCTATACCCACAAATAATCCCCTTCAAAACAGACCAATAAACAAGCAAAGAAAAAAGTAAACAGTTCAGTTTGTGCCCTTTGGTGCAATTCTAACCACAGTCAACAGGGGATGATGGATCACTGGAGATGCAGAGCTTGTAGTGTCCTGTACCAGTCACCAGGGGGCGCTGTTCTTTATGCTGGTTGGCAGGGGGCTCTGTGGAATCACTGGTCATTGCCACTTGGGGTGACACCCTCCGGGGTGTGTTGGAGAAACCGAAAATTGGTTTCCCTTCCCCCAACACACACTGGGAAAGGGGAGAGAGAGGAGGGAGAGAAACAACAAAAAAAGTCCTCCACAATGGGAAAAAAACTCACTCTGTTCTGCTGATCGAGTCCTGCGGTATAGTTTGCTTTCTCCCTTTAATGTGCACAAGAACCACTGCTTCAGCAGCCAGTCAGAACTCCTCCCCCCTGTTTCCCAGGAGATGAGAGGAAAAAAAAGTATAAAGGAACTCCTCACCCCTGTTTCCCAGGAGACGAGATTCTGAGGGCTATTAACTAAGAGGCAGCTTCTTTTGTGCTCCTTAACTGCCCACTCAACATTCCTCCATGAAGTGGGCAGGGGGAAGGGAAAAAATTCCTGCTTAGTTTCTATGAACCAGCAAAACCATGACAATATGCTAATAGGTGTCAGGAAATGTCATGAATATGTAATAGGAATGCAGGGAACTGAAAATGAATGATCATGTAATGCTGACGTATAAACTGTAGTGGAGATACCTCTGTGTGCACTTTGGCAAGTTGATTCCAAGGGCACCCTGTGTGTTGCGACTGTGCAGCGTGTCATAATAAAAGAATGCCTGATTTCTAAAACTCACAAATTGAGTCTTAGAAGTTTCTTTTAAGAGCCTATTATTGGCAACATATCTCAAATATAGGGCTCTGAAAAGAAGATAAAAGTATTTGAGACATACTTTGACTAGGCTTCCTTATGCTCCAAAATTAATTCAAATCTGTAGTTTTAGAAATATTTGATCCGTTTTTCCTAAAAGAGCCCTCAGATTGGTTTTTTCATGAATTCTCTTTCCTGGGTTCTTCCTACCTTCACAAAACAAGAGCAGTACATATCTAGACATGTTTGTTAGAGACACGGGACAATCATGTTGGTCCATGAGAGCTTTTAACATGGTGTGAACTGTACTATGCAGCACCACTGAGGACACATAAGAAATTTCAATCACTCATGAAGACAAATCAAATAAACTTTGATCAGTTCTGAAAGAAAAATAAGTCATTGTGCTCCTCAAAAGCAGGTGGCAACCATCAAGATCACATTTAATTCTAAAGCCTTTGTCTACAAATAGGCTTCAGTTTTGCAATCTATATAATCCACAGTATCCATAATAGTGATTTATTTGTAAGAGGCAAAAAAGCCCCAACATCCATGCAAATCCTATTACAGAAGAGAGCATCCTTCTTATTCCTTTTTGTCTGTAGTAGAAAATTAATCTAGGACAAGGTAATGAAGCAAACACTTCATGAGAATTCAATACGTGGAAGGGATAGAAGTCATAGAAGCTACAAAATGTTAGTACTACCAGGTCAGGGCAACTCAGTTGTTAGCAAGGCTTGGTAAAGACTCATATTTTACATGACAATTTGTACAAACATTCAGACATTTCCTCGTTAATCTTCGAGTTACACAAGTCTCACTGTCAGAAAATAGGTACACTGGCATCTCTGATAATTGTTTGCTGCATGATAGTTCTGTTTTCAGATACTAAAAAAAGTGAAGGTATTCAGATAATGTAGTCAAATATGACATCATATAACATACCTAAGATGATAAAGATCTTGGTAAAGCAGAAAACTTCTCTTCAATTTTCGACCATTCTGTATCACATGATTCACTGAGGACTGGAAAACTTACAGATCTTACAGAGCAAAGGTTCCAAAAAAGCAGAAAGGCTGTCTGTTGGTGAGCAAGAACTCCATGCTAGGTGTAGTGAGTTGCATAGTTCAGAATACACAAAATGCTTTAGAAAAGCCAAAGAACAGCAAGAACTGTCCTTCTATATATCTGCTGCACATCTCAACTCTCATGGTCGCCCAAATAATCCACTGAGTGGGAACATGCCCACACACACTCATCCCACCAGGGCAATATGTCAAGGCTTATGGTTCATTGTATAGACCACGCATCTCAATTGCAGGCAGTATTTGGTCACTCTGACACACCAGGTCTTCTTCCACGAGCAAAGGAGCTGTTGCAATTGTGAACATCACTGTTTCTCAGTAGATTTTTGAAGAACAAAACATTTCTTTCCTGGTCTTCTTGGTCATATTGCTTATCACCATAAGGCACCAAAGTTGCAAGCTGGGCATTTAAGATCTATGAACTATCCATACGCAATTCAACTCCAGTAACAGACACCATAAAGGAGGCAGAATCAACTTTCAAAAACCTAATTTTAATCAAAAAGAAAATTGTTGATCAATAACAAGTTTATAAAACAGTGATTTAGTTGCATAAATAAATTGATATCAGTGTATCAAATCAATTACTTTCAACTTCATGAGCATGTTTACATGGGTAATGAAGTACAATATTTTTACCGATTATAATAAATAAAATGGAGAGCATGAAATAGGTTTTTTTAACAAAAATACCTACAAACATATCTCTAGAATGTTCTCTAATGAAGGGAACAGGAGACACTGGACAACTTTTGCACCAAAACATAAAAGCTGTTTTAAAATCACAAGGATACAGAACCATCAGCTGAAACAAAGACACTATACTGTAATCAAATTTGGTATTTAATAATATAATGAATGGTTTGGTAGTTAGATCTCCAGACTGGTTAATTTAAAGCATTAAGACAAGGCAAGATAGAAGGCTGCTTTTGTTTGAGTAATTCTAGAGAAAATATGTTAAAAAAATGAATGGAAAAGTAGAACAGTCATACCTACACAACTTTCTGTCCTGCACAAAGTCAAAATACCTATGCAGAATATATATATAATATATATATTTGTGCACAAAGGTTAGTTTATTATTAGCTCACTCGAAAGGCATAATGTATCACTTTAATAATTTTGCATTTTGTGCCAAAAATTATATTTCTTTAATTTTCCTAGGCTAGGAGGCACAAACCCTGATTCTGGTATACTGTATTCTTAATGCTAAGGCTTGTTGCTCTGGTTGTGTATTTTTTTGTTGTTCCTCTTTACTATAGTGGCTGTTACAAGCATGTGTGTATGTATGTGTGTGTGTGTATATATATATATATATATATAAAATTTCCCCCAGTAAGTATTGTTCTAATCATGCAGTCCAAAAGGTGGCTCTGCATAGATGCCCAGAATATAGTTCACCCCCCGAATCAACCCTGAAGCAAGGCGCACTTGAGTCCTTTAGATAGTTTTTCTTTAAAACCAAGCTGCTACGGTTTCAAGTATTTTGCTTTACATAGATTTGATTTTTTTATAAATTAATGTTATACTTTTTCAATATTCAGACATATACTATAATATATATACAGTACAATAAATGCTCTCATACTTTTAAAAATTTATTTTGATAAATCCCTGAGAATGTATGTTGACAGTTGCTAAGTTTCCACATGCACAAGCATTGTGTGCCATGCTTCTGGACGAACAGCACTGCAAAGCCACATGGTCAGCCTTTTAAGTACTAGTATTTCATTTGTTGGTTTGTTTAAATACACAACTATAAGGATGAGTTACAAAGGAGTAAAGCTGAATTCATTTGAGGTACTTATCACAGGATGGAGGTGTTTTGTTTGTTTTTTAAAGCCATTGCAATATGTTTTCTTTTTGAGGCTGTGAACATATACAGAAAGAACAGGAGAGCAATGTGGGCTTTTGCCACTTGACAACATATACTCAGTGTAAACCAAACCTTTTTTTGACCTCTCTCTCACACAAAACAGAAAAAAAATTTAAACACACAAACTTTCACAACATGACAGTTTAGTTTTCAAACTCAATATAACTATACACATATAATACCGATGTGGCACTGCTTCTTTAAGTTCAAAAGGATACAAAGGCAGGCTCAAGTAAAAACAAACCACCTCCCCCTTCACGCATTTTCATTAACCAAACCGCTCACGAACCAGCATCATCAGTTTCTTTTTGCCTTTGTAGATTTGTTTTAGGTTATCAATAAACTGCGTAAACTGCATGTGTCCATCATGAGCCATTAAGAAGGTCTCTCGTGCCTTGCTGAGGAACTCTATAAATTCACTATAGTGTCGTGGGCTAATGTGAGTGAGACGCGAATGAGTTGTATTAATATAGGCTCCGATCGTGGCATCCAAGAGTTGTCTTAAAGGGGCTTTGTCCAGTGACATGAGTTTACCAGAGTTCCTCCTTCCATGGAGTCCCACCATGCCAGGAGTGGTCAAAGTACACCTACGCAAAATATCTGACAGTACTGTTGCACACTTGACACTTTTGACTACCAGAGGTATTATAGCTGTTAGCTCATTTTTCCCAAGGGAGTGGCTGAGCACACATGCCCAGAGAACATCGTTAATGGCAGGATGTGTGTCCTGATTGTAACTCAGGTTGAGATGTGTCATGGCCAAAGTGGCCAGCTTGTAGGCCCGCATGGGGTAACCACGGTGCTCCATGTATCGTGCTATAGTAAAAAGCTGCGAGTAGCTCATGCTGGTCGTAGCAGCATCTAGAACAATTTGGTAAGCAGTCTCAAAAGTTATGTGATCCTTTTCACATAAGGTCAGTGCAGAGAGGGCACAGTTTTGAGGATCCTTCATGGCACACTGTAGAGCAAGTGTCCTAGCACTGCTGGCCAGTTTCTCCTGTTGATGGCAGTCCAGATGCAGACGGACAACGGTGCTGTTGGACATCACTGTTGTAGCAACAATACTAGTGGCTTCTGTTGGAGTGAAAAGTGTAAACCAGTTTTGCATTATACTATCCAGTGCATAAACACCTGAGGAGAGAAAGAAAGGATTAGGCACAACTGACAAAACCTAGCAGATACAGATGTTCAGCAAAAGATTATATTCAAAGTCTAAGAGGTTGCCAGTACATCGAAGGAGATGAGCTTCATCAAGAAAGGTTAAACCTAATAATATGGTTGGAAAATCACATTAAAACAAAGGCTAACAGTGCAAACTTTGTAGCAATCACTGAAATACAGATAATAACAAAAAAGCCTGCAAGATAATCTTTTATGTCCCAGTGTGACAACTGAGCTGTTTTACTTGTTATCTAAGAAAATTTGGATAATGAATTCTGGCTCATTTGGTCTCATCACATCACTCAAAAGTAGCCCTCACACCAAACATTTAAAAGGCAATTTTAACTTCTTAATATGCATCTCAAGGTACAGCGAATGCACAAAAGAATATGAAAGCATGACAAATGTCTAATTTAGTAGAACACCATGGCATTTAATACCAAGCACAACTTTAAAAAAATGAAATAAAAAATCCTAACCCTAACGTCTCCCAATAGTCTTTTCATACACCTCTTGTATCAAATTGATATGCACCTGAACATCAAGATTCTTATTAGGGAAATACTCCGAGCAATATCATAGAATCATAGAATGACTTGGGTTGGAAGGGACTTTAAAGATCATCTAGGTCCAACACCCCTGCCATGGACAGGGACACCTTCCACTAGACTAGGTTGCTCAGGGCCCCATCCACCCTGGCCTTGAACACTTCTAGGGATGGGACATCCACAGCTTCTCTGACCAGCCTGTGCCAGTGTCTCACCACCCTCATAGTCAAGAATTTCTTTGTAATAACTAATCTAAATCTACCCTCTTTCAGTTTAAAGTCATTGCCCCTTGTCTGATCACAACAGGGTCTACTAAAAAGTTTGTCCCCATCTTTCTTATATGTCCTCTTGAAGTACTGAAAGGCTGCTATAAGGTCTACCCAGAGCTTTCTCTTTTCCAGGTTGAAAAACCCCAACTGTCTCAACCTGTCTTCATAGGAGAGATGCTCCACTCCTTGGATCATCTTCATGATCCTCCTCTGGATCCACTCCAACAGGTCCACATCTTTCTTATGCTGGGGACCCCAGAGCTGGACACAGTACTCCAGGTAGGGTCTCATGAGGGTGGAGTAGAGGGGCAGAATCACCTCCCTCAACCTGCTGGTTATTGCTTCTTTTGATATGCACTACTGGATATTATCCTAAATAGATATTTTCCTTAGTATTACTTTATTCCTGGCATGTGTATGTGGTGGTGGGGAAGAAGGGGGGAACAGTGATTAATGTTCCATATATTGAATCTTATAGCCAACTAGAGGGTCTTATTATTGCTAGATGCAGTTTACACAGATCTGTGAGCCCACCTAAACCACTGTATTGGGTCTGACTGAGATGGAGTTCATTTTCCCATAGCAGCCCTTGCAGTGCTGTACTTTGCATTGGTAGTCAGAAAGGTGTTGATAACACACCACTGTTTTGGCTACTGCTGAGCAGCGCTGGCACAGCATCAGCACTGTCGCTCAACATTCCACCTCCCCATCAATAGGCTGAGGGTGGACAAGATCCTGGGAGGGGACACAACCAGGCCAGCTGACCCAAACTAACCAAAGGGATATTCCATACCATGTGACATCAGCTTAGATATAAAAGCTAAAGAAAGGAGAAGGAAGGAGGGGCATTCTTTATTTATTCTTTATTTACAACAAATCATTATGTGCTGAAGCCCTGCTTCCCAGAAAGTGGTTGGACATTGCTTGTTGAGGGAACTAGAGAATAAAATCTTTGGGTTTTTTGCTTTGCTTGTGCATGCACAACCTTTCACTTTTGCTTTAGTAAACTACCGTATCTCAACCTAATGAGTTGTTTTCCATCTTATTTTCTCTCCACTGTCCAGTTGAGAAGGGGAGTGATAGACTGATGTCCAGCCGAAGTCAACCCACCACAACCACACTCAGAGGTCCTTTTCTCTGTAGGACAGTAATGATTCCTGTGCACCCCTTGGTGTGGTGTTCGTGGTGTTTGGTTTGCTTTCTAGTGTAAACAAGAGGCCTGCACAATGTCATAGCTACGTAACAAAGATGCATTATACTCTAAGCTTGGATTTATGGAGGGATTTTAAAAAATAAAACCAAGAAAGCAAACAATAAGCAATGACAACCCCTTAATGAGATCTTGTCTGCCACATAGTGGGAGGCAACCTCAGCATTTCATTCACCTGTTTTCTGGTTCATCTTCCCCACAGTTAACAAGACAGTGCTCTCACCAGTCTTTTGGAGCCTCACCCTTCAGAGCAAGCAAAATTGTAGCATAGTGTAACATCCCATAACCACTAGCCTTTTCTCTGCTGCAATCTCAAACCCAAACCCAACATGGAAGGGACAAGGAGAAATCTGGGTTATGGATGTCCCTACTTTGAAGGGGAAAGAAGTAACACTGCATTAATTAACTATTGTCTCACTTGGCCTATGCCTATTCTATTACATGCTCAAAAACCCCACTCATCATTGCCATAATATTGTCTTCTAACCAAAGGAATTTTATAGATGAACAGAAAGTGGGAGATATTTTCAGAGCTTGGGTGTTGACAAAAAAGATCAAACCCTCTAAGATTAGCTGAAAAAAGGCAGAAGCCCTTAAGAAGCATCTCAGAACATACCTATTTCTGTTGCACATGTTACCAACCACCTCACCATTTCCCGTCGTCGCCAATTCAGTGTTGACAGTGTCATCCGCATCACCTATTAAAACAACATAAACAAAATACAAATTATTCTTATTGTAAAACCAAGACAATATAACAACAATCAGGGATTTGAGTTACTCAAATACACTGAGGTTCAAAATGGCAGTCTCTTGCCCTCTCCACTGTTACCTCTTTTTAGCTGATTGTCATAGTTCGGATTTTTAGCAAGGAATTTTTCTTTCCTTTCCCCCTGCCGTGTGTGTGTGCTCTGTATATGGGCCATTAGTTGAACAAAAGAATCAACCCGAGCCCACTAATGGCCGAGATTTGTTTCCTTGACAACGAAGGGGGGGAGTTGGCTGGTGTGTGACTGGAAGGGGGTGGAGGCTGGGGAGAGAGGGGAGTGTCTCGCTCTGCCGGGAGGAGAGCCTGCTGCGGGCTGCAGACACTGCCGGGTTCCTTTGTCTCTTTCCTGTTGGAGGGGAGTTCTGGCTGTTGCTCTTGGCTCAACTCTGGCTGGCTGCAGCCCTGCTTACAACGGACCCTAATCAGCTGAAGTTTCTGAGTTTTCTTCCATTGGGAGAACTTTCTGTTTTATTGCTGTTGTTTTCCTTCCCTCTTCCTCCTCCCCACCTGGTGGCAGCCAAGGATCTCACAGCGCCACCTGGTGACGGGCACTGGACATTACAAGTTCTACTCCCCCAGTGATCCAACAGCGCCACCTGGTGACTACAATAGGACACTACAAGTTTTTGCACCTTCAGTGACCCAACAGCGCCACCTGGTGAATGGTACAGGACATTACAAATTTTGCATCTCCAGTGACCCGACGGTGCCCCCTGCTGACTGTGGTTGGAACCGCACCAAAGGGTGCAAGAAATTGAACTATTTTCCTTTTGCCGGTTTATCGGTTTTGTTCTTGAAGGGGATTATTGGTGGGTATAGGAGTATTACTTAGTTATTTTACTTGGTTTTTTTCGTGTTCCTGTTAATACACACATACCTTTAATAAAGGGCTGTTATTTTCCCTTTTCCATAATTTGTTTTTCTTTCAATCGAAGCCTCTTAATTTTGGATTTATAATTGCTTGGAAAGAGAAGTTTGGGTCTTTTCCTCCTAATCCATCCTCAGCAAAAGACCCTTGTCTCATTTAAACTGGGACACTGATATATCAAAAAACTTGATAAATATTGCTCAGCTATCCTAGAAGAGCACACAGAGAGTAATTCCAACTGCAGGTCCTTCTAGGTTAGAGAAGAAACTGTTTTATTTGGGGAGAAGAAAAAAAACAAACAAACCCCCCACCACCCCACAAAAAAACTCCCCATCCCCAATCAACAACAAAGCATTTTAAACAAATTATTTAAATTAAATTATACTGTGTCTCCTCCCTCTATGTATAAAAGTCTTTAAAGTGGAAACGTGTCAACTCCAGTTTGGAAATCTAATTAGTCTAATCTTTTTCCCCTTGGTCTTTTTGGTCATTGACTTCAACAAATACAGACAGGAGTCAGAGTGTACTGTCATTTGACTGGTTGCTTATGCTGAAAAGATATATATATACACACACTTCCAGACATATCCAGATATTCTGGGGCACAAGTTATATTCTCCTCTATACTTCCAGTTGAAGGCAGCAACATTGGAAGAAACAGATGGGCCCAGTCTATTAATACATGGCTCCACAGTTGGTGTCACCACCAAAATTTTAGGTTTTTTCATGATGGAATGGCCTATGCAGCACCAGGCATGCTGGCATCAGACAGGACTCACCTTTCTCAGTGAGGGAGGAGAGTCTTTGCTCGGAAACTAGAGGAGCTCATTGGCAGAGCTTTAAACTAGATGTGATGGGGGAAGGGGACAACATCAGGCTTGTCCCTGGGAAGCTGTGGGATGAGAGGCAAAGGTTACAGGGACAGGTTACTGACTCTGAGATGTGCTAGCCACACTGGAGCATGCTTGCAATCTTATGGAGAAGAGCCAGGGACTCCTGAGGTAACAGAAGCCAACAGGGAAACACCAAAGAATTATCTCAAAGGAATTAGGGGATGTTCCTCTGGGAAGGCGACACAGTCGACAGCCCCGCTGAGGTGCCTTTACACCAATGCACATGGCATGGGCAACAAACAGGAAGAGTTGGAAGCCACTGTGCTGCTAGAAAGAGATGACCTTGTTATCAATTACTGAAACTTGGTGGGATGAATCCCATGACTGGAGTGCAACTATTGATGGCTATATGATGTTCAGAAGAGACGGGGGAGGAAGGAGAGGTGGAGGGGTTGCCCTCTACATCAGGAGGTGGATTGAGTGTGAAGAGTTGTCTCTGAAGAATAGCCATGAACAGGTTGAAAGCCTGTGGGTAAGAATCAGAGACTGAGGCAACAAAGGGAACTTAATGGTTGGTGTCCACTACAGGCCACCTGACCAAGGGGAGCCTGTTGACAAAGCCTTCTTGCTCTAGCTACAGGAGACATTGCATTCACAGGCTCTCATCCTGCTGGGGGACTTCAACTACCCCAATGTCTACTGGGAAAGTAGCACAGAGAGCTGTAGGCAATCCAGGAGACTCCTGGAATGCATGGAGGATAACTTCTTGAGCCAGGTAATAGAAAGCCCTACCAGAGGGAATGTGATACTGGACCTGTTGGTCACCAATGCAAGCCAGCTAATTGGGGACATCAAGATTGGAGGCAGCCTGGGCTGCAGTGATCATGCATTAGTGAAGTTTGCAGTCCTGAGGGATACAGGTCAGGTAAGGAGTAAAGTTAGGCCCCTGAAATTTAGGAAAGGAAACTTCCAACTCTTCAGGGAGATAGTCAATGGGATCCCCTAGGAGACTGCCCTCAGGGGCAAGGGAGTTGAATAGAGATGGCAGATCTTTAAGGAAGTCTTCCACAGAGCACAAAAGCTAACAATGCCCAGGAGCAAGAAAGGCAAGAGACCACTATGGCTGAGCAGGGAACTGCTGGTCAAACAGAAGGGAAAGAAGCAAATGCATAGGCAGTGGAAATAAGGACAGGTAACCTGGAAAAAGTATGGGGATGAAGTATGGTTGTGTAGGGATGGGGTGAGGAAGGCCAAGGCTGTCATGGTTAAAGGAGGTTTTGTATTTTATTTTCATTTTCCAACATTGTTTTGGAGGAACTGTTTTTTTAAGAATGAACCCCCCTTTGCCGGAACCAGGGAGTTGGGCAGGGGGAAGAGGAAGACGCTGCCACAGTGGAAGTGGAACCTACTCCATGTTGGTGGAACCACACTTTCCTTGCTAGTGGAGCAGAGAGAGGAAGAGACAGACACATGGTCTACCGGAGCCACCCCTGGAAGCCACCGCTATATCGGCACCCTCCCTTGCACCCCTGCTGGGACCTCTCAAAAGTGAGCTGCCCGGTGGCACGACCGCCTCAGCCAGAGAGAAAACAAAAGTGAAACTAACTGCACGGTTTGCAGTCCCTGCTGCCATACACCTCCTGGGAGCTTGAGACGCCTGGGACTGTGCCGCCTGCTGACATTGCCACCTCAGAGACAAGGTTTTGCTGCAGGTCAAAGCTGCTCTGGGACAGTTGCAAGCCACTGGTAGCTGTAGCAAGCCAGAGTTATGGCTTTGTTGCCGCTTTTGCGGCTGGGACCACACCGCAATTGCAGAAGGAGGGAGAGAGCCCATTGCACAGTCGATCATCACTGCCGCTCCACAACCTAGCCGAGCCTCCAGAGCTCGAGCCCCAGCCGAGCCAATCAGGGCAACACAAGGCCTGGAGGCTGTGACAAGGCAGAGAACACTGCCCCTACACTAATATTGCTGCTACAGTCAGGATCTGAGCCTGAGTGGGTGACATAGAGTGGGCAGTGTAATAGTATAACTCCTTGTGGACAAAAAGTTTTTCCTAGGTCTTGCTTTTTGTTCCTGGATTTTTTTTTTTTTTTTGGGGGGAAGAGACTAGATGTGATTTCTATTATTGACTTGAACCATTCTGTTTGTATTGTTGTTACTGCTATATTTCTTGTCAGTAAACCGTTTTTTTTCACTTATATCTCCTAACATTTTTTCTCTCTCTATTGGTGGAAAAAAAAAAAAAGGAAGTGTCGGGGTGAGCGGCAAGCCTGCAGAACCCCTGATGAAGGATGCAGGGGTGAAGGATTTTGACTCAGACATTTTGAGGCCATTTCCCTGGGGAAAATCAGGGAATGCGAAAGACTTGAAAAGGTGCCAGTGCTGACCAGTAAGGAAAGAATGTAAATAATGAATGAACATCCAATTATATGTGAAGGTTGGTAATTAATTATAGATAGAGAACTAAGAATAGAAAAGTATGTAAGATTCTGTACACACAGTGTGTGAGTACAGATGTGTGAGAACAAGAAGTATTATACTGGATGAAGCAATAAAAGCTGAATGTCGGCCATCATCAATAAAGGTGCCCAAATTTATTTTCTGTGACCGACCTCAACATACTACGACAAGGGAGAGGTTTTAATAAAAGGGGAGGGAGTTCATTTATTGAAGTCTCCACCCCAGAATTTGTCTTTAAACCAAGACAAAGGTGAAGCTGAAAGTGAACTTTGCAAGGGATGCAAAGAATAACAGGAAGCACTTCTACAGGTATGTCAGCCAGAAAAGGAAGGTCAAAGAAGGTGTAACCTGCAATAAACAATGCTGGAAAACTGGTAACAATGGATGAAGAGAAGGTTGAGGTGCTCAACAACATTTTTACCTCAATCTTCGATGGCAACCCCTCTTCCCACACTTCTTGAGTGGATGGACAGCAGAATGGGGATTGGGGAAGCAAAGTCCCTCCCACTGTAAGTGAAGATCAGGTTCACGACCATCTGAGGAACCTGAATGTACATAAGTCCATGGGACCTGATGAGATGCATCTCAGAATCCTGAGGGAATTGGCTGATGTAGTTGCCAAGACCCTCTCTGTGGTATTTGAAAAGTCATGGCAGTCAGGTGAAGTCCCAGGTGACTGGAAAAAGGGAGACATTGTACCCATCTTTTAAAAGAGTAGAAAGGAGGACCCTGGGAACTACCACCCTGTCAGCCTCACCTTTGTGACT